CGAATTGCAGGAAATAGAATGCTGGGCTGGACTTATGGATTTTAGCTCGGGCTAGATCGCTCGGGCCCTTCACGACCTGTCTCCATGCCGCCGACCGTCATCAACGTCGCCCGAGCGGACGACGTCCGCGACGTGGTGCATCGGGCTGTCCAGGCCCTCGCCGAAGGGCAGCTGGTGGCCATCCCGACCGAGACGGTATACGGCATCGCCGCCAGCGCGACCCACCCGGACGCCGTCGCCCGGCTAGCGGCCGCCAAGGGCCGCGACATGGCCTCGCCGTTCGCCCTGGCGGTGAAGAGCGTCGAGGACGCCGAGGACTACGCCCCCGGCTGGAACGCCGTCGCGAGGCGTCTGGCGCGTCGCTGCTGGCCGGGGCCGGTGACCCTGGTGGTGGAGGCCAACAGGCAGGAGGGGCTGCTCAGGCAGCTTCCTGAGGCCGTCCTGCCCTACGTGTGCCCCAACGGCTCGGTGGGCCTGCGGTCGCCGGCGAATCAGCTCGTGCAGGACATCCTCAGGATGCTGGCCGGGCCGATCGCCCTGTCGAGCGCCAACAAGTCGGGCGAACCCGACGCCACCACCGCCAAGGATTGCGTCGAGGCCCTGGGGGACAAGCTGTCCCTGGTGCTCGATGACGGCCCGGCGCGGTATGGTCAGCCCTCGTCGGTAGTGCGGATAACCGAAACCGGCTTCGAGGTCCTCCGTGAAGGGGTCGTCGGCCGGCCTACGCTCGAAAGGCTGTCGCGAATGCTTGTGATCTTCGTCTGCACCGGAAACACCTGCCGCAGCCCGCTGGCGGAGGTCCTGATGCGTCGCCGGCTGGCCGACGAGTTGGGCGTCGCCGAGGACGAACTGGAGCAGAGCGGCGTGATGGTGGCCTCGGCGGGGATTGCCGCAGCCGCCGGCAGCCCGGCGAGCCCTGAAACGGCGGAAGTCCTTCGTAAGCAAGGACTTTCGTGCGACGCCCACTCCGCCCAGCAGCTCACCGAGCACCTCGTCCGCCAGGCGGATTGGCTGTTCGCGATGACCCCCTCGCACGTAGAATCGATCCTAAGCCTCTGGCCCGAGGCGGCTGGTCGTGTCAAGCTGGTGGACGCTTCAGGCGGCGCCATCAGCGACCCAATCGGCGGGCCGCTGGAGGTCTACGAGAGGTGTGCCGAGCAGATCCGCGCCGGGGTGGAACGCCACGCCGAGCAGATCCTCACCGAGCTGCGTGCCTCGACCAATAAGTAACCGCGGCCAAGTAACCGCGACCCGCCCCATCGGATCGGGTCGTCGCGACGCCTGACGCCCTTTTCACCTAAACCTACCGGCGACCCCGCCGCCCAACCGGACCAAGCAAGATGCGTATCTCCGTCGCCAGCGATCATCGCGGCGTAGAACTCAAGCGGGCGATCATC